ACGTGTCAGTGTCCGCCGCGGTTCACTGGAGCGAACTGCGAGAGTAAGTGGAATATCTAATCACATTTGATTATTGTTTGGGCAATGGAAAATATTACTATATAAATAACAACTACATTTGCGTTTGTATCAAAAAATTATAATCGCATCAGTGCCAACAGGGAAGATTTTAATTCCCATGTTAAGCTGACCCCCAAACCTAAAAATAACCCACAAATATGGATATAAAGATGTATTCTATATATCCTATGTGATATCGCGCAGACCATTAATGAAAAAAAAATAAATAAATAAACAAAAAGTCACGATAAAAATGACGTAACACTGGCTAATATCTAAACCAAACAGTCTTGTTTGCAAAGTGTGACTTACATTTTTCTATGATTGATTGCTCTTGAGGATTCGTAACATACTTACGTATAAGAGCATACTCAAGGACTTGCAATATTTACATAGCGACTGTGCTGCTTGTTTTTTGCTTCGCGCTCCTATGCCAAGGGAGCCTTACCTTGCGGTATACTTCTGTGTAGCTAAACTTTTCCATACGCCGCGCGCATCACTACAAATTCAAACCCATTCAATTTTGCAAATTAAGTTATTTAACACCGAAATCCAACAATTCTCTTAGAGACTTTTTATTTCCCGAAACGTCGAGAAAGCGAAAAATGTTAAAGTTTTAAGGGAGTGGTTTTATTTTTCTTGAAGATCACTATACGTACGTAGGAAGGACTTAACAATTTTTTATATTATATTATTTAATATACTTTGTTATTTAATTACCGTTGGATAGTTTCCAACTTTAAGCTTTTTAATTGTAAATTTGTTTAGTTCAGCAATTAATAATTAATTTTTACTTGCATAGAGGGGCACTAGTTTGTCCGTTCCCAACTGTTAAGTTTTTTTCCCCTCTTTAAATAAACGTATTATAATAAAAGTCTACAGCTGTATGTTGCAGCAACATTGCTCATCCCTTACCTTCGTTCGCAGCTAAGGTAACCGCCTGCATGAGTGATCCTTGTTTAAACGGAGGTACCTGTACGGATGATGGTTCATATGACAAATACACATGCACATGCCCTGAAGAGTTCGCAGGGGAGCGATGTCAAGGTAATTTTTAAACTGGCTTTTTTTTTTTTATGCTAACTATAAAAACTTAGGCCTAGTACACACTACGCCGGAGAAATTTAAAAACAAAACGGCGTTTTCACTCTGAAAACGAATCAAATGTTTTCCGTCCACACTACACCGGAGAAATTTGAAATCGCAACAATCACCACAAGCGTCCCAAACTCACGATTCGAGGAATGGATCAAATATTAATGAACTATGTACGCGTGTTGAGTGGGACGTGACCACCTAAAGTGCGCAGTCGGTTGTGTTCCACTTAGCGCGCTAAAAGGCATTGTATGCAGTTTGAAATAACGAAGGATAAAAACGCGCATAAAATGTTACTTTTTTGATAAAATAAAGAAAATATACTCACCTTGCCTGGTTTCTTTGGTCCATTTTAGCTATTTCAACGTTTTTAGTTTTTTTTTTTTTTTGAGGTGTTTGTCACAGCTTCTATAGACGAAGTCAAGGTTGGACAGAGCTGTTTCGAAAGACCTGTACCACGAGGCCTTTTTCTAGCCGAAATTCGAATCCGTTGCTCGATTTTCCCCTCCAACGCGAAGAAGGATAGTTCATTTCTCTCCTTTGCTACTCGGCTTGGAAAAATCTTCCTCCTTGCCGCTCCAATTCGAACGATGTTTGCCTCACTACTGGAGCTTTCAACTTTCCTAAGTACATTGTGACCGTCCTTTCGACTACGGCACAGTTTGAAACCATTAGTGGTCTTAGATTACAATGAGGCGTCAAAATGCTCCCGCGGGGTCGTCGAGAGAGGGTGGTATTTTTTAACGGAAATTTGCGACCGTGTACCCGTCTGGTAAGTCGCAGTTGTCGCGCTGGAGCGGTGGCTAGTGTTGATTTCAAACTGTGCTGTAGTAGAAAGGACGGTCACAAGGTGCAATCACCGGTCATTTTTGGATTTTCTTTTTAAAAAACTCGGACGGGGAAACCATGACGTCATCGTTTTGGAAACGCTCCGTTTTCAAAGTGTTTTCCGT